TGGTTTAGACCACCGTATGGATCAGTTTGCTCAGGCTTTACAAACCATACTGGCTCGTACTGCCCACTTGCAACCTGCCGTTCAAGAAGCTGTTGCTGCTGTGCCAGAACCAATTCCTGATCCAGTACCCGCTCCTGCTCACGTGGTTCACATGACGCCACCTCAGCGCTATAGCGGTGATCCAGCATTGTGCCGTGGTTTCCTCAACCAAATTGATATTCATTTGGTGATGAATCCTCGTTCCTACCCCACTGACAGAACCAAAATTGCTTTTTTGATTAACCATTTGTCCGGGAAAGCTCTAGCATGGGCTAATTCCATGTGGGAGAATACGTCCCCAATGTCCTTTGCAGAATTTTTAACAGCTTTTAAACGTACATTTGATCAACCCGGCCGGGTTGCTTCTGCTGGCAAAGCTCTGCTTAGGGTTCGACAGGGTAATAGATCTGTAGCGGATTATACCATTGAATTCCGCACTCTGGCAGCTGAAGTGGTCTGGAATAACGACGCTCTCGTAACAGCTTTTCAGGAGGGTTTGGCCGCTTACATATTAGATGAAATAGCATCCAGGGAAATGCCTGTTCTTCTGGATGATCTAATAGATTATGTAATTCTAATTGACAACCGTATTAGAGAGAGGCGTAGTCAAAGAAGGATGAATACACAGGGGTTACCTGCTTTACCCAATTCTGCATTACTAGCATTACCTCCCCCTAATCAACCACCACCCGAACCCATGCAATTAGGTGCTGTAGGCTTATCTGAAGCTGAAAGAACGTACCGCAGAAGGGAGGGTTTGTGCCTTTATTGTGGTAAGAGGGGGCATCTCCGAAGAAACTGTCCTAGTTTGCAGGGAAACTCCAGCACCTAAGGCCTAGAGAGGGGTCAGCCTCGGTGTTATGTTTTTTCCCCTCATGTGTCCATCTCCAGACCACTTATTATGGTTACTCTTTTGGTCAATAAAACCACGATAACAACTAAAGCCTTTATCGATTCAGGTGCTGCAGACAACTTTATGGATGAAAACTTTGCTAAAACCACAGCCTTGAATCTGATCCAAAAGGCCACACCCTTGGCCATTGAGGCCATAGATGGTAGACCACTTGATAAACCTCTGGTGACCCATGAAACCCAAGAAATGGTTATGGTCGTGGGTGCCTTACACAAAGAAAGGATAACCTTCCAAATAATTGACTCCCCTACAGCTTCCATCATTCTGGGCTTCCCCTGGTTAGTTAAGCATAACCCGGTACTTGATTGGGATTCTCTAGATATACTCTCCTGGGGGGTATCTTGTCAACAAGACTGTATGGCCCGTTTACATCCCGTTTGTTTACTTAATGTGCCTACAGCTAAACCACTTTCTGTTTCTGTCCCTCCTGTGTATGCAGACCTCGCATTGGTCTTTGAAAAGAGGGAAGCTGATAAACTACCCCCACACCAGGATTATGATTGTGCCATAAATCTGTTACCTGAAACGATGCCTCCTAGGGGTAAGGTCTACCCGCTTTCTGAGAAAGAAAACCAGGTCATGGAGGAGTACATACAGGAATCCTTACGTAAAGGTTTTATCAGAAGGTCCTCCTCTCCGGCTGGTGCTGGTTTCTTTTTTGTTGCCAAGAAAGAGGGCGATTTGAGGCCATGTATAGACTATAGGGGCCTGAATAATATAACAGTTAAAAACGCTTTTCCTATCCCTCTCATTACTGAGTTGTTTGACCGTGTTAAAGGTTCTAGATATTTTACTAAACTAGACCTCAGGGGGGCTTACAACTTGGTTCGTATAAAAGAAAATGATGAATGGAAGACAGCGTTCAATACACGCAGTGGGCATTATGAGTATCTAGTCAAGCCTTTTGGACTGTGTAATGCTCCTGCTGTCTTTCAGGACCTCATAAATGATGTCCTTAGAGATTTACTGCATGTCTGTGCTGTGGTTTATCTCGATGATATACTTGTATATTCTCCTGATTTGGAGTCACATCATGCCCATGTGAGGAAAGTACTTAAGAGATTGCTACAGAACGGTCTTTATTGTAAATTTGAGAAATGTTTATTTGACCAGAAATCAGTACAATTCCTAGGGTACATCGTTTCTGAACAGGGGTTCAGCATGGATCCTTCTAAATTAGAAGCCATATTGTCTTGGCCTTTCCCTCAAGGCCTTAAGGCAATACAGCGATTTATAGGCTTTGCCAATTATTATCGCAGGTTTATTAAAAACTTTTCATCGGTCATTTCTCCTATCACGAAACTAACTAAAAAGGGTTTTCACCCCAGGGTTTGGACTCCTGAAGTCATTAAAGACTTCGAAACTCTCAAAAAGGCATTTGCCACTGCCCCTGTGCTACACGATCCTGATCCTTACCTTCCCTTCTCTTTATAATGGAAGTAGACGCTTCAGAATCAGGTATAGGAGCTGTATTATCACAAAGATTATCCTATAACGAACCCCTCCATCCCTGTTGTTACTTTTCTAAAAAACTGTCTGATTCGGAAAAGAATTACGACGTCGGGAATAGGGAACTATTAGCTATTGTGATGGCTTTTAAAGAGTGGAGGTCCTTTTTAGAAGGAGCTAGACACAAAATCCTGGTTATAACTGATCATAAGAATCTCTCCTATATAGCTGATGCTAAAAGGTTGTCCTCTCGTCAAGCCAGATGGTCCTTATTTCTTTTACGCTTTCAGTTCATTATCACATATAGGCCTGGGTACCGTAATGTCAAGGCTGATGCTATCTCCGACAATACGAACCTTTGGAGTCTATCGCCCCCGCTCCTGAACCCATTGTACCCACGTCTAAGATAATAGCTGCTACCCGTTTAGTTATTTCGTCTCTTTTCCTTGATGGTATCAAGGCATACCAAACTCAAGCACCCTCTGAGACACCTGTTGGTAGATTATACGTGAAAGAAAAAGATAGAAAGAAATTTCTTAGCTTTATTTCACACCGCCAAAATGGCTGGCCACCCAGGGGTTACCAAAACATACAAGGGTCTCCGTCAACAGTTTTGGTGGTCTTCACTTAAGCAAGACGTAGTGGATTATGTGCAGGCTTGTCGTGTTTGTGCACAGTGTAAGTCCCCTAATGTCAAACCCCCGGGACTCCTAATGCCTTTATCCGTACCCAAGAAACCATGGACCCACTTATCCATGGACTTTATTGTGGATCTTCCTTCATCCGATGGAATGACAGTAATTTTGACTGTGACTGATAGATTCTCTAAAATGGCACACTTTATTCCACTTAAGAAACTACCTTCTGCGGTTCAGTTGGCTCAGGTATTTGCCAAAGAGGTTTTCCGCTTGCATGGTATACCACAGGATATCGTATCTGTCAGGGGTCCTCAATTTGTCTCTCGGTTTTGGAGGGGCTTTTGTGCTGAGATGGGGATTTCCTTGTCGTTTACTTCCTCCTATCATCCACAATCTAATGGAGCGGCCGAACGGGCGAATCAATCTGTGGAGTTATATTTACGTTGCTTCACGAATGCACACCAGGACAATTGGTCTCACCTCCTTCCTTGGGCCGAATTCGCCAGGAACACTGTGACTCATTCGTCCACTGGCTTAAGTCCTTTTATGGTTGCTTATGGGGTCCAACCCTCTGTCCTTCCCGGCGTGTTCTCCGACAAGGGAATACCCGCTTTGGACGAGCACCTCACCTCCTTACGGAAGATGTGGGATCAGGTCCATGCTACTCTTTCTTGTGCGACTGCTACTCAGAAGAGATTTGCTGATCGTCATAGGGGTGCTTCTCCCTCTTATGTCCCGGGTGATAGGGTTTGGTTGTCCTCTAAGAATCTCTGCCTCAGGGTCCCCTCAATGAAATTCGCGCCCAGGTTCCTTGGCCCCTGTAAGGTATTGCGTCCTACTCCCTGGCCTTGCCTCCTTCCATGCGTATACCTAACACTTTCCACACCTCCCTTTTGAAGCCCCTGCTCTGTAATCGATTCTCTGGTCCTCTCAGGCGTCCAGATTCCCTCCGCGCTGTCTCTAATGACGTGTACGAAGTGGCTGCTCTGCTTGATTCTCGTTTTTCTCGGGGTCGGTTGCAGTATCTGGTTGATTGGAAGGGTTACGGCCCTGAGGAGCGGTCCTGGGTCTCTGCCTCTGACTTGAATGCGCCCTCTTTGATCCGCTCCTTTCATGCGCGGTTCCCTTTGAAGCCTTCGGCCTCTCGCGTCCTCCACGCCCCCCAGTGGCAGCATGTATAACGCTGCACGCTGGGAGGTCACTAAATTATGCAAACGCCGGGGTCACGTGAGTGACCCGGCGTTAAAGAAACAGTACCACAATCACAGTGGGAGGTATAGATATCCCCCACGTGTGATTGTTAATTCTGATTGGAAGTTATCCAATCAGAATTAAACCAAGGGTATTTATACTTACCTTTCCTGTCCCTCAGTGCCCTGTTGTGGTCTTGTGATACCTGTAGTGCTGTTCTCTCGTGTTGCTCTCTGGTTTCTGTTTTTTTGGCTCGTTATTCCGATTATCCTGTCTTCTCCACTCCTTTGACCTCGGCTTGTTTCTCGTTTTCTGGCTCCCTTTACTTGGCTTGTCTCCTGACTATTCTTAGCGTGCTTAGCCCGGCCACTCTAAGGACCGGTATAGCACCCTTCCTCTCTGTGACCTGTTGGCGTGTTAGGTTCCGGAATCGTGACAGCATCTCTATGAGAAGTTGATTGAGCAGCATGGCGTTATGCCGCGCATACAGTGAACATGCAGGGCATCACTGAAGAGCGAGGGAGCAGAGCAGGGAGAGAACAGCTTCCTTGCTGCCGCACTAAGTCAGCCGCCAAAGGCCCACCTCCCTCATTCTGCGTGCCGCCTACCTCCCTGAGCTCTCAATGAGCCAACCGTCTGCCTGCCTCTCCAATTTCGGGCAGCCAGTCACCTCAGGGGCTGAACAGGATGCGCGAGGAAGTCTAGTCTGGTGCTTATTCAGACCCCTCTTTTTGTTTCATTGTTTAATTAGTTGTAGACAGCGAGAAGATCAACATACAATAAGTACATTAAACCAGGGCTCAACAAGTCGGGATTTGTCAATGCTCACAAATCCCGATTTGTCGAGCCCTGGTTTAATGTACTTATTGTATGTTGGATGTTCTTGCTGTCTACAACTAAATAAAGAATGGAACAAAAAGGGGGGAGAGGTGTCTAAATAAGCAGTAGACTAGTGTCTAAGTAGGACAGTAGGATACATATTTCCACTCCTACCACTATAGAGTTTTCCTTTAAAATAATTTTCTCTCTTTATGCAGCCTTGGCTACATCTTCCCAGCCCGTGACTCACCCAGCCTACATGAAAACGTTGTTTCATTTTTCAATCAGATCATACAGCACAGTGTTTTTTTCTTAAGAGGGTCTTATCTCCTGCTTGGAAAACTGAATTTTAATCACACACAGGAGGCTAGCAGATCTCTATTAACAAAGCAGGAGATAAGACATTCTAAATTAAAACACAGTGCAGTAATGGAAGCTAAAAAATGGAGACTCGTTTTCAGGAAATGTGTGGGAAAACATTGTCTCAGCCATAGGAGGTGTGGCTGGAGCTGCATGAACAAAGTAATTTGATTCATAAATCTAATCTATACACCAAAACTGCTTGATTGAGTCAAAGTTGTTTTAGTGCATAAAATGTCCCTTTTAAATGGAAACTATGATTTTTTTATGACATCACTGACAAGTGAATACTTCATGTAATATAGTTTTGTTTTGCATTATTTAGTAGTGAATACACAAATATATACATGTTATTACTGTCCAATGCATCTCCTGGCTTACTCTTACTGTGTGGGAGTAGCCATCTTTAAACTTCTTTGGTTGGAAGCACCAACATTCTAATAAGATCATTCAGACTGTGAAAGTCTGAAAATGTATTTTTTAGATGCCAAGCACCTGTGCATGATGTCATGAATCCTGCACGCACATTAGCTTTTGATTACCTGCAAAGTTTTTAGTCCTTTAAGCCATGTTTCAGATCAAACAAGATTTGTAGTTGACAATCTCCACAGAAAAAAAAAGGCAAGCATTACAGTTAACAGAGGCATTTCTTTATATGTATTCCTAGCAAAATAATAAACACGAAGGCTTTAATATATGTAATCTTTTACTTTAAATGAAAATAAATAATTATGACAGTTCTCCTTAAATATTTTGATCCCTAGAGTAAAATCCAAGAATAAGAGTGGAGTGGTCCAAGTAAGCAGTCTAACTGTGTGATTGCTAGGTTGGGTCAAAGCTTGTGCAGTGGACATCTTTACATCTAGATTGGAACCAAGTAGCTTATTACCTGGTTTCCATACAGAAAATGCTACTTTTAAACTCTTTTCCAATCTACAATATTTCTATATATTTTAATAACACTTACTGAGATTGCTGTATCTATCACCATGTACACATGTCCTTACATAAAGAAGACCTGGTCCTCTCATCTCTCACAGAGCCTTCACTCATTTTAGTTTTAATGCTCCGTTTATTCGCTCCCTTCTTCATTTTTAATTATTATTGATCAATATACCCTGCAGATTTATGATATGACTCGTTACTTAATTATTCCTAGTGAGTATTAACCTGTAAAGACAATTATGAATAAAATATTGGTTTTAGCAAACGTCACTTTAATTGTAAAATATACACATGAAAGAAAACCACCTTGGTTACCAATGGATTGAAATAACATTAAACAAGATTTTACAGAGTATGAACTGATAACCCATTGCTCAGACTCTACAGGGAGTGCAGAATTATTAGGCAAATTAGTATTTTGACCACATCATCCTCTTTATGCATGTTGTCTTACTCCAAGCTGTATAGGCTCGAAAGCCTACTACCAATTAAGCATATTAGGTGATGTGCATCTCTGTAATGAGAAGGGGTGTGGTCTAATGACATCAACACCCTATATCAGGTGTGCATAATTATTAGGCAACTTCCTTTCCTTTGGCAAAATGGGTCAAAAGAAGGACTTGACAGGCTCAGAAAAGTCAAAAATAGTGAGATATCTTGCAGAGGGATGCAGCACTCTTAAAATTGCAAAGCTTCTGAAGCGTGATCATCGAACAATCAAGCGTTTCATTCAAAATAGTCAACAGGGTCGCAAGAAGCGTGTGGAAAAACCAAGGCGCAAAATAACTGCCCATGAACTGAGAAAAGTCAAGCGTGCAGCTGCCACGATGCCACTTGCCACCAGTTTGGCCATATTTCAGAGCTGCAACATCACTGGAGTGCCCAAAAGCACAAGGTGTGCAATACTCAGAGACATGGCCAAGGTAAGAAAGGCTGAAAGACGACCACCACTGAACAAGACACACAAGCTGAAACGTCAAGACTGGGCCAAGAAATATCTCAAGACTGATTTTTCTAAGGTTTTATGGACTGATGAAATGAGAGTGAGTCTTGATGGGCCAGATGGATGGGCCCGTGGCTGGATTGGTAAAGGGCAGAGAGCTCCAGTCCGACTCAGACGCCAGCAAGGTGGAGGTGGAGTACTGGTTTGGGCTGGTATCATCAAAGATGAGCTTGTGGGGCCTTTTCGGGTTGAGGATGGAGTCAAGCTCAACTCCCAGTCCTACTGCCAGTTCCTGGAAGACACCTTCTTCAAGCAGTGGTACAGGAAGAAGTCTGCATCCTTCAAGAAAAACATGATTTTCATGCAGGACAATGCTCCATCACACGCGTCCAAGTACTCCACAGCGTGGCTGGCAAGAAAGGGTATAAAAGAAGAAAATCTAATGACATGGCCTCCTTGTTCACCTGATCTGAACCCCATTGAGAACCTGTGGTCCATCATCAAATGTGAGATTTACAAGGAGGGAAAACAGTACACCTCTCTGAACAGTGTCTGGGAGGCTGTGGTTGCTGCTGCACGCAATGTTGATGGTGAACAGATCAAAACACTGACAGAATCCATGGATGGCAGGCTTTTGAGTGTCCTTGCAAAGAAAGGTGGCTATATTGGTCACTGATTTGTTTTTGTTTTGTTTTTGAATGTCAGAAATGTATATTTGTGAATGTTGAGATGTTATATTGGTTTCACTGGTAATAATAAATAATTGAAATGGGTATATATTTGTTTTTTGTTAAGTTGCCTAATAATTATGCACAGTAATAGTCACCTGCACACACAGATATCCCCCTAACATAGCTATAACTAAAAACAAACTAAAAACTACTTCCAAAAATATTCAGCTTTGATATTAATGAGTTTTTTGGGTTCATTGAGAACATGGTTGTTGTTCAATAATAAAATTAATCCTCAAAAATACAACTTGCCTAATAATTCTGCACTCCCTGTATGTACACTTGACTGTTTATATCTGTTTGAAAGATCTAGTTTCCAAGCTAACGATAACAAGTTGTTTTGCACTCGTTCCAGTTTATTTTATTTTTTTTCATGTTTGCTACTAAACGGTGTCTTAGTATTTTATTAATGGAATTTAGTTTAACCGTCGACAGACTATATCAATATTTATTTTATACATGTTCTATATTTTATGAACCTCATTCTATATCTTGAATTTTCAAATTTAATGTGGCTGTAGAACCATAATAACACATGAATCTATCATAAAACATATGCTCCTTATTCAACAGTTATATATATGTGTTTTAAAAAAAATATTTTTTATTAGACTTCATATCTTTCGATAGCTGGTTTGGGGGTTTTCTTAACTCTTCCAGCATTATAGCACCCCTTACTTACTAGCCAACTCCATAATAACACATCAACTTATGATAAAACATATGCTCAACATTTAAATATATATATATATATATATATATATATTTAGTTATATATAAACTATTGAACAGATGTTGTATGATAAATCGATGTGTAATTATGGAGTGGACTAGTAAGTAATTGGCTTTAATATATTTAGGGGTGCTATGATGCTGGAAGAATTAAGAAAAACCCCAATCCAGCTATCGAAAAAAATGGGGTATGAATAGTTTCCTAATTATTGCAAATTAACCTACATTAATGTATAGGTATGTGTTGCTCTCTATTCTATTTTTATTTGGTTCTTTTAACTCCTTTACACAAACTGCTTAAAGGACCACTCTAGGCACCCAGACCACTTCAGCTTAATGAGGTGGTCTGGGTGCCTGGTCCAGCTAGGGTTAATCCATTTTTTCATAAACATAGCGGTTTCAGTTAAGCCTTCCCCTATTTCCTCTAGTGGCTGTCTCATTGTGAATGCTTTCCTATGTGACCGGCTGAATGCGCACACAGCTCTTGCCGCGCGTGCGCATTCAGCCGACGGGGAGGAGAAGAGGAGGATCGGAGGCAGAGATCTCCCCGCCCAGCGCTGGAAAAAGGTAAGTTTTAACCCTTTTCCCCCTTCCAGAGCCGGGTGGGAGGGGGTCCCTGAGGGTGGGGGCACCCTCAGGGCACTATAGTGCCAAGGAAACGAGTATGTTTTCCTGGCACTATAGTGGTCCTTTAACTGGTTAAGATGATGTAAGATGAATGTGACTGAAAGAAATAAAATACAAGAAACTAATCTGTAGATCTGATCAACAGAAAACAAATCTTGCTGTAGAGAAGAGAATCTTTTTAACGCAATTATAGCTTTGTCCCTCGAGCTGCAGTATTGATCAAAGAAAAAAATATAGCAGCAAATTAAAACTATATTCCATTGACTGTACTATTTAAAGAATCTAATCTGAGACAAAAAAGTTTTCTATATTTTTTTTAATTTATATAAGTTTTCTATAGATTTTTTAATATATATATATATATATAAATATTTTAAAAAAAATATAGAAAACTTTTTTTGTCTCAGATTATATATATATATATACACACAAATACAAAGTTTCCTTGCACTTCAGGCTGTATTGTAATGTTGCTTTGAACGCCAGGTCCTCAGGAAAGTCCCAAACTTGGACTGAAACGTTGACGCTAATCGGCATCACATTTGTACTTTTATGTAAATATTAAAAGTTAAGTTTTAAGAACACCGTGAGTGCGGACTGTGACGAAACCAACTTCGCCACTGGGTCTTGCAGGGGACTACTGGCCAGCCTTTTACCATGTGACTATGGCCTCTTTAATTTATTTTGCCTGAGAGACCCTAATTGTGCCT